ATTGCTATACCATGTCTTATGGTATGGTAACCCCCCTGCTCTGCTCTTACAATCCACTTGCTCCTCTCAGGCCCTAGTGAAAATGTCCAGTCCACTCCCAATACCCTGACAAGCACTCTTCTCCCCCCCTCCCCACTCAAGTGATCCAAATCTGGCCACACCACCCAAGTGCTTGGTGATGTCAAATAAAAACCAGGATCAAAAGCAGAAAGAAAGCCATAAAATTCTGTGAACCAACTTCTTACATTGGAATCTGTGAATCAGGATAGAACAGAATAGAACAGAACACAATGCTGGAAGGGATCTTGGAGGTCTTCTAGTCCAGCCCTCTGCTCAAGCAGAACCTATACCATCTCAGACAGGTGAATTTCTAATCTCTTCTTAAAAAGCTCATGATGGAGTGCCCACAATTTCTGGGGGTAAGCTGTTCCACTGGTTGATTCTCTTCTCAGGAAGTTTCTTTAACTCCAGGTTGCTTCTCTCTTTGATCAGTTTCCAACCATTGTTTCTCATCCTTCTCTCTGGTGCTTTGGTGAATAACCTGCCCCCCCCCTGCCTTGTGGCAGTCCCTCAGATACTGAAACACTGCTATCATGTCTCCCCTGTTTCTTTTCTTTAGACTAGCCAAACCCATGTCCCGTAGCCGTTCTTCATATGTTTTAGTCTCCAGGCCTTTGCTCTTCTCTGAATTTTTTCCAAACTCTCAACTCTTTTTTGTGATAAGGTGACCAAAATTGGCTGCAATATTCCAGGTATGGTCTTACTAGGGTTTTATAAAGCGGTAATAATACTTCACATGATCTTGATTCTATGCCTGTTTATACAATCCAGGGTTGTATTAGCTTTTTTGGTTGATGCTGTACACATGGTTAAGTGATCGTCCACTAGGACTCTAAGATCCCTCTCAGTTACTGTTTTTAAGCCAGGTCTCGCCCAATCTGTATTTGTGCCTTTAGTTTTTTTCTGCCTAAATATAAGACTTAAGGATGAATTCTGCATGCAAAAGTTCCAACAATTGGACAGAATAGCACTGATTAATTAAATGACAATGCTCAACTTTAGAAAGTAATTTCCTTGATGAAGTCTCCACTTTTTTCATTACAACACACTAGAACAAAATATCTAGTTCTTTGTCTCAGTCAAGTAGAGTTACATATTCCAGGGTCCTAGTTAAGCTTCCAGATCTGTAGATACTTTTATTAAAGTATTTCATTCAACACTTAAAAACACTTTTATTTTTTAAAAAAATGTTTACTAAGTCTCTGGACTAGTTTACAATGTTAGTGAGATGGTATGCACTATAACTGTTTAAATAACATGACCAGAATAAAAAAAGGATTGAGGGGAAAGGAGAGAAAAAAGTTGGATGTAATTGTTAATGTTATACTAAATTGAATTAGACTAGCAAGATAGCATCTTAAACTAAAAGGAACTTTTTCTAAATCTTCTCCTGGGCAGTTTTATTCAGCACTTATTCAAAACATTGTTTTCCCTCATGAAGGCATTTCTAGGAAGATAACATGTTGTAAGATAAGCAAACAAACACGTGTCATTTCTGGCCTGCACATAATGTATATATTGAAATTACTTAACAATAAAAAAATCCAGCACAATATTTTACGCATCTCTGGAAAAAAAATTAACATTGCTCTTATTTTTTACTTTGGACACCAAGATTAGTATCTGTGAGAATTCTTGCAGGCTTCGTTTGTCAGACTTCCATTTGTCTTCTTCCCACAAATTGAAATGACATCCATATGTGGAGAAGAGATTCACGTTTTATGCAGCAGTTATGTCTACTGCAACTATGTACTGCAGATACATAATGCACAGAATTTCTAAACACCCAGTGGTTATGTGCAGAGGTGGAGAGAAGTCGCTTAGCTTACTCAGAGCTGCTTGCAGTTAAAGAAGCCACGTCACCTGAAAAAGACAAGTCCACAATAAACACTGAAAAAAAAAACCCACCTCACTTTGGTTGGCAATGCTAAAAGCAGAGGTAGATGTCTCTTCCTTCTCTTTTGAACACTTCTGTTACAACAAAGACTACCATCATTGCTATCGTTCACTGTAGATGAAGCAGGTTGAAAAACTAGACAGCAACAGGTAGATTTGATAGAATCAGTGGGTGGATCTGAGGATCAAGAACAACTTATGAGGGAATGGATAAGAAATAAATAGGATTGTAATTCTGGGGTGTTGCTTCTTCCATTATCACAGATCCAGAATTTAGGATTTAGAATAGAAATCGAAGCAAGAAATAACGCAACCTTAAAACACATATTGTAAGAATTTATTACTGTGATAAGTAGAAAATTTAAAAAAAAAACACAATCCAGAAATAGCTTCTTCGACAATATGAACATAATCCACTTCTGCATTATGTAAAATTTCACTGCTTTGCTGTGCGTTAAGACTAGTAGTTCTCATTAACCACAATATATCTAATTTTTCTCCCTAATTGGGGGGTCATTAGGTTAATTTTCCTAATACTAATTCATTAACTCCTAAAGTGTATCAACTTCACCTACATGTCTTGCAAATTTCTTTGGTGAATTTCATTAACATACATTACTGTACAGTACTATAAAATCCCTCTTATGCATTTTGCTGAGATCTTTTCTGATATTTTTTAGAGTCATGGAATCTTAGTATGTCTTACTATGTTAAGTCAGAATTCATAGAAATCCAATTATCATTCTCCATGTAGTTATTTGGACATAAACAATTATTGTTCCTTTACTAAAACAGATTAGCATTGGGCTAATCTTTCAAGAGGTGCTTTGTTCATGCTCTTTTCTGTTTTATAAGTTCTTTTGAAGAATTTGTACAACTTTCATCCACATATAGTCTAGCAGTGTTTGGTGTTCCCTAAGGTATTTCTTAACTATGCCCAGCAACTGCCCTTCTAATTATGTTAAAATTATACTTTGAATTAGAAATACTATAAAGAGAAAAGTGTTATCAGTCAGATAAATTAATGAAAGCACAGTGACTATTTTTTCCCCTCTGTAATTGCAGGGAAACAAAGGAAATCCTGTTTTAGCTATTTTCCTTCATTATTCTCTTGGGCATGGATTGATTTTTCTCTTCTGTAATGAAAGAACCAGAAGAACAACATTCAGAGTAAGGCAAGTATAGATTAGAATTGTCTTGAGTACTTACTGCCCTAACCAACAGCTATCAGACCAATAGTCTGGTGATATTGCTAGTCTAGATATTTTAGATAATTTTTTCCTTGAATTCCAGCCATCATAAAGGCTCATTGCTTTTGCAAGGATGGGCAGAAATGCCTTGTCAAATAGAAATAGGGGAAAGGATTACTGAATCATAGACAGGATTGCCCAGCAAAGTCTGGATGATAGCCGTAATCACGTGTATAAAACACATTGAGATGGGCAGGTCTTTGGACAGTTGCAGCTGCCATTTTGATGTTTACCGCCTCTGAAAATGACCTGAACATAGCTTATTTCTAGTTTTTCATTACCTAGAAGGATTATCATAAGATTTTTTCAAAGATTAAAGTTTAAGCAAAATGCTACCTTTTTAGAAGATGACTGCACAATATTCAACTCTGGGTATAGTCCTAAAATCCTTCCTAATGTTGCTCCAGAGCTATACTGGTGAAGAATTGTAGATTTAATTTCTCAGTCAGTATCACAGAATAAGCTGAACTTATCTGCTATTGATAATGTCTTCCCTCTCCCCCAAAAAACTTACTGAATTACATGCATTTTGAATCCCATTGTTAGCAAAAAAAAAAAAAATCCCACTGACTGTATTGCAGACCTTATGACACCACCTATGTATTAGAAGTTTTATATGGAAGAAAGGACACAGACCTCCTCAGCTAAAAAGCAAATATACATTATGTCCTGTACACTACTTATCCAAGGAAAGGGGCATTCTATATTAAAATGAAATACTTGGTAGTATTCTTTATTTGGATTTTACCTGGATTTTACTCACACATAAGAATTGTGAAATGTAGCATTTTTCTCATTGAACAATAGCTATTATTACAGCCATTGTTTTAACAGAGATCCATTAATTTATAAAAGATTTGTGTGTATTATTTATGATTGGGTCAAGATTAGGTCCAACATGCACCAAAGGATATCCATATGTATTCTGCTTAATTTTGGCATGTAGTACATGAGCTCAATGCAGTTTGCGTAGTTTGGATAGGATTGCAATTAGTATTAAGATGGATTATCTGAGCAACAAAAAAACTTAATGACCATTAGATGACCGCAAAGCAGTACTTTAAAGTTAACTTTGCAGAACATAATACACGTATTTTCAACCTATCATAAGATGGTATTTGGACAGTAAGTTATATGAGCCATGGGACAGTATGCATTAAAACAACCAAACACAAGATGGGAGATAGGAAATTTGTCTATAGCAATCCATCCTAAAATTGTGCAAGCAGATGAGAAAAAGTATTTAACTGGTAAAAAGACCCTTGGCAGAAGTGTACTATGTATGCATGTTTAAGGCTACATAAATCTGGATGACCAGAAGGCAGCAGAAAGATACAAACAAGTTGAATTCTGGTACTAAGTGAATCCAATCAACTGGGTTTTTGAACTCAGCTCTGGTAGCCCTAAAATTGGCACCTTACTCTTTTCACTCTTTTAACATGTGTTCCTTCTCCTTCCCATTCTTTTCTTGAAAAAGCTTGTTTAGAAAATTCATGCCAATCAATGAATCAGCATATAGCCAACTTCTGTAGTCAAGACTTCTGCACTGGATGCCTCTAGTTGCAATTCAATACATACAAGAAAGTGATTGTCAGTGAACATAATGGGACTCATAGACAAAAACATATAGATGAAAGGAATAAAGTGGTAGCACTTATGTGCGAATTAAAAACCAATTACTTTTTTTCAAATGAGACAAGGAAAATAATTGTTCAAAATTATGATGCATTATATAGATACTGCTCTGGCTTTGGGACACACTTATAACTCAAACAGCAACAGCAAGCCATGAAATAAACATTTTAAGAATAAATTTATTTTAAACATTGGTTACCCATTCCACTGTTTTCAATGATCCTGGACAGAGGGCAAGAAACAATAAAGCATCTGCTTTTGTGAAAAGCATCTGAACTTGTGAAATAACAATATATGGTGGGTTATGACACAATCACATACTATTTCATTCTTCTTTGCATCTCATCCCTTAAAAAAACTCAATGTAATACAAAATATTTAGAATAGGACATTAAAAAGTCAAACAAACCCTATAAATGTTTCACACCTGAAACATTAAGAGAGCTTTTAATGATAATTCATTAAACTAGGATAGTGTTGGCTGTTTGCTCCTTTCTGTTACAAAGTATTGTGACAATTATGACATTGATATAAATAGTGCATATTCTCCATTTATAAGAACACTCATAAAGAAAGAACCGGTGATATTATGAAGTTATAAAGTGGGTGATGGCTACATACTGTATATAGACATTTGGTGGACTGCAATGCATCTTTGGTAAACTGAAATTCACATTACATAGTTTTTATCTTAGCCATGCATACATTTTTGCATTAAAATGGTATTCTTTAGCACGTTAAACTAATCATAAATAGAAACAAAAGGTTAAACAAGGATGATAAAAAATTGATTCAAAATCTGTGAAAGATAGTAAGGTTAGTTCTCAGTACAATTCAAAAGACAATAATTATTGTCATACTATTTTCCCAAACATATACCCAACACCATAAATTATGCCTTGGTTCTATGACCTATGCATAAATAAGATACTGGATGAGATGATGATGATTACTGAAATCCAATCTTTGTAAGGATTAGGCAGCTGGTTATCCTAATCACAAGTTATAGCATAGTCCAAAGATTTTCTATATTTACATATGAAAAAAGATGGAAGATGCTGCAACATATTTGATACCGATTTTGAAATATGTTTTGAAATCCAAATACTACTTTGCTCTGAGGATTTGTTAATATTATTCAAAACCTATACAATGATTCAATTCAGAAAAACTTGAGCAAACAAAATTAAATGACAGACAGTATCATTGTACATGGTCATTTTGGGATTTTGTACAGTTTAGGCAGCACTGTAAGCAATAAATCTGGAAATAATGCTGTTTCCATCAATCAAAAAGAATATTTTCATTCGTTACATTTTTTCCATAGTATTTGGAGTGTATAATTTTACCTTTTTTACTATCAGAAACAGAAATTCTAATTCACAGGCTGACTGGCATTTCAATATTTAACAGCTGATTACTACAAATACTTCATCATCATTAAATAAGATGTCCAGCATGCTTCATTTTGACTGACAAATCCAGTAATGTTTGTATTCCTTGATTACAATTCAATTAGATTATAAAGAACTCAACTGAAAGTTTGCAAAACTTGCTCCTGTCTGGATAAGTTACTGATAGACATGATTGAATATAAAAGCTGCTAACCTCATGATATCTGTGAACTGATTTGTATATCACATTATGCTATATGATTAACAGAACTAACATTTTCACATCCATTCTTTCTTTCTTAAGTGAATATACACAAGGCACTAAGCAATGGTAAAATAGATTTGGCTATAAAATTGTAGTGAATTTTCAAAAATAGTTACAATTTTAAAAATTATATAACAAAACAAGAAAACCAAATGTAAAAGGCTTATAATTAATTTCACATATATAAGACACACAAAATTGATAAATAAGACAATAAATCTGCAAAATCGTTTTAACACATCCCTTTTAAGGATACATCCTTTGACAATACTTAAAATAATCACGATTTCTTAGCATGGGGACTCTGACTATAACAATGTGCATAATATTTAATTCCTTAATTACTAAGAATACATACTCTTTACAAAGAAATACATACTCTTTACAAAGGCAGAGTCACAAAAAATGGCTTTGTTGAGAGCCCTTCTTTAGGTATTTGAAAATATACTATTTTAACATTTAAGTATGTTAAAATAGCCTATAGTGGACAAAAATTCATATCAATTCAGTGGTTTGGGTTTTTAATCAAACAATTTCCAACCTAATTTCCTATTAATGTTGGTTTTAAGTTTTGACTTAGAAGGCAAAGTAATCAAATTCTAACTGTACCCTATTGAAAAATAATCGATAATTCAATTATTTAAGCCTTTAAAATCATGCAAATAGACTGTCTACCTCAAAAAGGCATTTAAAGGTGCATATCTGTGCAACAGAAATGTATTCATGATATGTGTAAGATTTTCCAAGTATTAAATGCTTGAATACCTTATGAAGACCCAAGCTTAAAAAGAACACAATAGCACCTATGGGCAAGCAGAGAATTACAGAATAGTACTTCTTTAATACTGAGCAAGGCATCTGATTTTCTAACATCATATTTAATTTACCTCTTGGAAGAAACTTTCCAAAAAAGCTTCTCTAATAGATATGTACTTGCTGTGCTAAATCCTCTCAATTGCACCAAAGCTAATAATTATTAATAGGCTGAGTATGACTTTAAATTTAGGAACAGGCATATTAAAATGAGAAAGGCCGCCATAATCTGTGGTGTTCTTTAAAATCCCAAGACAATGATAACATAATACAATTTCCTTTCCATCTCTAGCACCATGGGTTGGCTGTGCAATAAGTGGAAGACCTCACATCAGACTCTTGGCCTTATCATTTGATTTATACACGCATTCATAAAAATCTGGGTTGGGAGACATTTGTATCTTTCTTGGCAACTCCCCAAACCTAACCAGGGACAAGCCCTTTTCACTCTTGGCAGTTTATGACTTTGAACTCCTGCTTACATCACAGAAATCTGGGAACTATTCATTACAAAAGCACTTAAGATAATAGTTATCTCCAAGAAAGCATAGTCTTACAAAGACATGGCAGTAGAAAAGAGAATGCAGTGCCATAAGCTGAAGCCTTCAAAGTTAAAGGAACCCAAAGAAAAGGGGGAAAAAAAGGTCTGTTGACTGCCCAACAGTCAAACCATATTGTCTCTTTCCTAAATATTTTTAGGAAATAAGATGGGTTAAAAATACCAGACAGCTTTCAAGGCATACTGTGGATAGAGCTCATTGGAGATTCTGGACAACAAACTTTCACAGGCTGGAATTCCAGGCAAAGAGTCACTCTTCAAGTTACATGGCTTCTGATAACTCCACTATTCCTTCACTAGCTATGACTTCCTTTTCCATGCTGGCACAGGTCCTACCTTCAAACAACTTCTGTTTCAATTTATTGAGTTCATACTCGTGTAAGATTTTCTGTGTTAAGTACTTCTCACGTTTTATTTTGGCCTTCACCTCAGATGGGACATCTGGAATCATCCAGGCCACAAAGAACTTTACAATGAAGACAACGTGCTGGAAGAGAACACAAAAGAGAAGAATGCATAAAAAGAGGCTACGGAAACATGACATCACTTCTCCTTCATTGTTTTAAATGTTTGCAGTATACGCTTGGATAAGTGAAGTTTAACACCTCTGAAACATGAAACAAATATTATCATGCTTTTGCTATTGCCAACTTTTGTGTACCAATTTTAATGTACCAATGAATTAGTTGGATAAGTGGTGTAGTAACCAATAAAAGAAAGTTCCTACTGCCATAACAATTTACCTTGACTCAGTAAAACTTAAGTAGTCTCTCTCATTTAAAAGCACTCCTCACTGAGTTCTTGACTCACAAAATTAGAAGATACATGTTTTGGAGGTCCATGTTCAATGCAACAATAAAGTGATAACTGCCATGTTGCACATGATAAGAGCAAATGCAGTTGTCTAAATACCAATCTTTATGTAATTAAATTAAATGATCATGTGTAAAAGCAAGAAGACTGAGAACTCCTGAGCTTGCATCTATATCTGCATGCATGGTATCTGTGTTATAGATATGCCTATGTTTCATGTATTAGAGAGAGACTCTAAAAGAGTTCACATGTTTGGTGACTTTAACATTTTGACTGGCTGCTGAAAGAAGCCAGAACAAAGGAGGCATAGAACTGTGGATGCCAAAATGACACACTCAGTGATGTCATCATGCAAATTCTGCCTTTATGTATTTGCATTCAAACATAATCATGCATATTTGTTTCCTTTGTCCTTTTTTTTTTACTTCCTCCACTAAGGATGCCAATGAAAAACACGATAGCCCAGAAATTGCATGGTTAGATAGTTAGCACTTTGTGCAAAAATATTCCAAATGCAACTTTTTGTCACATGTCTCATTTCAATACACTATTATTTATTGAGCACCTGAAATATTTTGTAGTATGCAAGTGTGTGTGTGTGTGTGTGCATACAACATTTTTGGGAAATTGTTTGCCATGCTGCTTCCTAAGGCTGAGATATAATGACTGGCCCAAAGTCATCTGGCTGACTTCCATGCTTAAGGCAGGACTAGTACTCTAGCCTCTCATTATTAGTCCAGTGCCAAAGATGCTTTTTCAAGAGGCAACTGGACTTTCCTGGGGTTTTTTTGAAGATGTTTCACTTCTCACCCAAGAAGTTTCTTCAGTTCTGACTGGATGGTGGGGAATGTAAGGATTTATATTCTTTGCAGATAGCTGGTTATTTGCATTTTTTAAAGAGTCATTGAGGTTTGGAGTTTATCTGTGCCCTCAGGGTCACCTGAGTAGTGCAACCGGGTGTGGAACACAGTCCTTTCAGCAGTTCCAAGAAGGCTCCACACTCATTTGCACTACTCAAATGACCCTGAGGACAGATAAACCCCCAAGTGGCCTCAATGACTCTCTAAAAACAATGCAAATGACCAGCTGTCTGCAAGGAGTATAAATCCTTCCATTCCCCACCATCCAGTCAGAGCTGAAGAAGCTTCTTGGATGAGAAACGAAACGTCTTCAAAGAAAAACAAGAAAAGTCCAGCTGCCTCTTGAAAAAGCACCTTTGGGACAACCATGACCTGGATGACTGAGAATCTCCATAGATATTAGTCTAGTACCTTTAACCATTAAACTAATTTACTTATTTACCTACTTTCCTACTATTCATACATATACACATGCAGGTTCTTGTTTGCTTTATGCATCATTGCTGCTACACAAGTTGCACTAGTTACCAATCATCTTCTGGCTGCAATTCAGGGTGCAGGTAATCGCCTATAAAGCCCTTCATGGAATAATGTCATGTTATTTGAGGGACCACCTAACTCCAATTATTTCCTTCTGTCTAGTATATTTGGGCAGCTTGAGTGCACACCAGGCTCTCTTCATTAAACATTATCATTGTGGGACCAAGAAAATATGCCCTCTCTATTATAGCCCCAGCACTCTGGAAAAAAAACAAAAATCCAAATCCCAGCCCCAATATATGTATGGATCCCACTCTGCAAGTATTCTGAAAGTGTCTTTAAAATCTCTGTTCTCAAGCCTGGGATTAGAGGTTTTGTGAGGCCCTATTGACTTTTTTTATTATTTTATTTAAGATGTTTTGTCCAGAATGTCTTATTCCTTAAATTAAGTATTTTAACTATTGTAAACCACCCAGGGTGTTTCTGGAGTTGGAAGGATGCAAAATCCATTACAGACCTAGTTTTTGTAGATGCTTAGAAAATAATAGTATATAATTTAGGAATAATTAGTAAGAAGTACTAATAAACAAGAAATAAAAATGAGATTTTATTTTTTGTAATTTATTGACTTATAATTTCCATATTTTATATCAGCCATTCATAACTCTGGGCAGTTTTAAGTAACTAATTACTTCATAATTAAGGATCAAGTTGCAGCAGAATTTAATTCACTTATTATATAAACAGCCAAAATTGTTAAGAGGAGCAAAGCAAAAAATGTAATTTCTTTCTCTATCTAATTTCCCTTAAGAAAAAACAAAGGATTTCTTTAGAATTAATTAGAACTTTTCTTACCAAGTATTCTACCACTTAGAAAAGGTTCTAAGGCCACTCAACTTCTATTTGCATAATAAAATTAAGCAGGATAGTCTTCTTTAGGCCTGAAACCCTACTGATTTTTTAAAATTTATTCCAGCTTCTTAGAAATGCTTTCAGTCCAATATTCCTTGTAGGAATTTAAGTGGGCACAAATGAAAAATTTTCCTTATTTACTTTTTCAAAAATACATCTCCTTACCATAATCATCATTAAATAGGAGAGTTCTCAGTATATTAATGTATCCTGCTTTCAAATGCATTCATTTTTTAGACGTGATATATGCAAACCCCATCAGCACAAAGGCCAAACAGAATTTCTATGTTGTCCTTTCTTATTTCAGATACGGTTTGAATAAAATAAAATTTTATTCAACAATCATATTGGTTGCAATTTTTAAATGCTACTTTCATAACATTTTTAAAAAAATGTATACCAGCAAGAGCTCTAATTATTTTCATATATAACCCCATATATACATGCATACACACACACATACACACACACACACACACACACAATCCCTTTCACTTTAACTCCAAATTGATGCTCTAGCATATTAATTTTAGGAGAGGAGCAGAAGAACTTAATAATAATTATAACAACCATTTTACCTCCATAATAATTATAAAAGCCATTTTTGCAGCCAGGATGTGCCAGAATTGCATTGTGTGCATGTACTGCTTCTCATGGTCTGGTGGATATCGATAATCCCTGTACCTGTTGAATATAAACATCTAAAGGTGAGGGGCTACCTTGAAACATGGAAGTTTACAACTGCTGTAGCATTTATGTTCATATAAAGCTGTCAGTTATGAGGGCTTTTGATGCCTGATTTTAATATTTTTTTCTTCAGTACAAAATCTGACAAATGTTTCTCATTTGTTCAGGCAAAGCAAAAGCCAAATGTGAGAATATATTTACCAGGGGAAAAAAATACACTTATTAAAAGTGATCATGAGGTGAAGCTTGGCTAGCATAGTAGGAAACATGGTGTGGCATAAATGAAAAATAGAATACAAGATGAGTAGTAACAGGTTGTACAGTACAAGCTGAAAAGAAAAAAAAATGGCTAAAAGTCAATCAAATGTATCGCACAGGACAAATGTATGACCAGCAAAGAAATAGAGAAGGCAGTCAGTAGAAAGATATACCACAAATATGGCAACCCTTTCATGTTACGCTAAAACCCATGGGAAAAATCATGGAAAATCATATAACCACTGAAAGGCTATTCTACCACACATAATGAGGCATCTGTTGCACAAGAATGCTGGAGAGAAAGGAAACTCAGGCCACAGGGGAATAGCTGTGCTTAAAAACAGTCCACATATAAGTAATCTTTACTTAGACTCTGGAAAAATGCACTGTGCAATACCCATCCACGCTGATCCATGTGCATTTCTTCTTAGAGCAGCTTGAAATGGTACAAAGGATAATCAAGCTGTTCCCACTAAAAAGCACAAGTCCATATCAAAGTGCATGGGGAATAGGAATGCATAATTCAATTCCTTAAATTTTCTGTCCTTTACTACAAAAAGATGAGGATTTCAGTTGACTCTAGTCTAGTTAATGGTATAAGCTAGAATCAATATGGCAGTTCAGCAAACTTGTTTGGCAGAGAAAGAGAAGGGGGAGAGAGCAATAGTAAAGAATTGATTTGTATGCTTTTCGTAATTTATGGTTGTGTGCTTTCTATTTACTAATGAGTGGGGTGTCTGTAGAAGAAACCTGCACTAGGCAATTTTTAGATTTGAGGAAGGGGTTGTTATTCTTTTGTGAGAAATTTTTAAAATATGGTATAAAAGTACAGTGTTTTTAAAATACAGTAATTTTCTTAATTGGGGATATAGCAACTCTAGGTATTTTGTTGTAGTTTATGAGAGCAAATACGTTGTTTTGACTTCTGGAGGAAGAAGAACAACAAATTCTAGAGTTTAGCTTGAGGAGATGTAACTTTTTTAGCTATATTTCTTATCTGGCTGATGAGTAACTCAAATGAGTTACAAATTCAAGACAAAAGTAAACCAGTTCTTGAGTTCAAGATTGCTTAACATAAATCATGGTTTCTAAACTAAGTTCAAAATCTGTGGTTTGCAAACAAAGTCTGTTATCTGAGATGAATTCAGATAATTAAGTGAAGCAAGCTGTGTCTTAGCATTACAAATGAATTAAGTTAAAGATTCAAATAACTACATTTCCCTATTTCTATAATTGATATTTTTTATATTAATTACTATAAATGCATGTTGTCTGCAATCATCTCCACTGTCACACAACTGATGCCTAAATAGCTCATAAAAATGTCAACAGAATACATGTATAAAGATGATAAAATCACAACTGATATTAGAAAATGTATAATTATTATGATGACTATATTAGTATAAAACATAAAATGGACAAATTACAACTAACCTGCAACTGGTAAATTTGCCTGGGTTCTGTTCAGGTTTGTTTTTTTCAGGAAAATCTGAGATTTGGAATACTGAAAGGCTATTATTAATGTATCCAGACATAGGTAAGTCAGGATCCGCAAAATAGGCATAATAGTATACCAATCGAGGAATCATATCAGATGTGAAGGCTACAATAAACGCCTGCAGGAAACAATTGGTTATTTATGTCAGTTTAGATATATCTTTGTATGTTCTATGCATGCTGATTAACTACTGGGTGACAAAAGATAAATTGGTTTACAATTAGATATGCTGCATATCGTGTCTATGGTTAATCTCTCAAAGTGGCCAAAACTAGTGGCATTAAAGATTTAACAGATTTTGTCCACATGTACTTATACTTAGCATTAGTGACCTAAAATAATCACACCAGGTACAAAAGAAAAACAATAACTTCACAAGCATAAAATAAATCCAATTTAATTTTAAAAGCCTAAGAAAACACAAAAGTTTGTTTCCAGCTTCAAGGACATTAGAGTAGGAGATTGATGAGCTCTGTCCTCAAGTGATTTTACTTCGGTTGTTTGCTAGCAGTGTTAGTATTAATTTTAACTTTGTGTCTTGGTATTTTACTTCTGTTATTTCCCTGAGCACCTAACTGAACATAAAAGTGGATACAAGATGATTCAACCTGTGATAATATTTCTGAGTCATTAAAAACAGAAGCAAGAGCTTAGAACATCTTTTCTAACTGAAGCAAAAAATAATGAGATATGATTTATTCATGAATAAATAAAATGTAGTTGAAGTTAAATTTATCTAGATGTAAACCTCGTGATTTAGATTTGTTTCTGATGGAATATGCTTATTAGTCAAAGAACTTGAAGCCTGTGACCTTGGGGATGTCAGGCATCAATTCCTACTCCACCTTTTCTCAGGGAAGTACTTATACTGGACCAATAGCATCAGAAAAGCCACAGATTGCTTATCTCAGGGTTAATCACTTTTTAGAACTAGAACAAGAAATTATTAAAATAAGAAATTAATAAGGACACTTTTTAAGATCTAATTGTTCTAATTGTTCCAAGTGCTCTTATGAATAGTTTAGGCAATTGTTTGGCTTTATTTACTTACGTTTGTGACAACAGACAAGATAGCCATCCCGTTTAAGATTTCTTGCCAAATTCCTATGCTATGAGCTTTGGCTGCCACAGGCCTCCGAAACTGGGTTGTAAGTTTCCAAGAATCAACTCTAATCTCCAAGATGTTGTTCATCAGAGCAAGCAGGGGTGCCAAAGGAAAAGAGGCCACAAACAGAGTAATAAATCCGAACTGAATAACTATATGGGTAGAAAACAGCAGATAAACAATTGAATGAAACCTATGAAAAGTTATATTTGAGAATCATATACTTAATACCATTAGGAACATTCATGAATAATCAACAGGTTTATATTCCTATATGAAAAGCAATTATTTGAGGTGTGCAAAACATTTTGATCTCGAAGTAGGGCCCACTGTTCTGACCTCATCCAAGTATTCCACCTTCAAAGTATCCTATTTAATGTTGAAATGCTTTTTAAAGCTCCAGAAAATATGTATTCGCACTAAAATAGATGAAGTTAAGTTAGCAATAGTTATTTATGAATGAAATGTATACTGATTGGAACTTAAAACTTATGTACTATAGATTGAAATTTGTATTTATTTATTTAATCAGTTAGTTTACATTAGATTACATTAGATTAGCAACAAGAATGATTAGGGGCTGAAGGCTAAAACATATGAAGAACAAATACAGGAATTGGGTATGTCTAATCTAATGAAAAGAAGGACTAGGGAGACATGATATTCGAGGGGCTCCTATAAAGATGAGGGGTGTGTGTCAAACTATTTTCCAAAACATCAAAAGACAAGGCAAGAAACAATGGCTGGAAACTAACCAGAAAGAGAAGCAACCTAGAACTAAAGGGAAAATTCCTAACAGTTATAATAATAATAATAATAATAATAATAATAATAATAATAATAATAATAATAATAATAATAATAAAGTTGGAAGGGACCTTGGAGGTCATCGGGTCCAACCCCCTGCTCAGGCAGGGAACCCTACACCATTTCGGACAAATGGCTGTCCAGTAGTCAACCAATGGAATAGCTTGTCTTCAGAAGTTGTGGGTTCTATGTTCTATTTATGTGCCATCCAGTCTCCACCTAAAGCAGTGTTTCTCACCCTTGACCATTTTAAGGCATGTGGACTTCAACTCCCAGAATTCCACAGCCAGCATTGCTGGCTGTGGAATTCTGGGAGTTGAAGTCCACATGCCTTAAAATGGTCAAGGTTGAGAAACACTGACCTAAAGTGACTTCAGACAGATATACTATATTTGATTTCAATGTACAGTTTAACATTTGTTCTATGAAAAATATAACATTTTGATGAAAAGCAACATCATTAGCATAATTACCCAGAACATCTGCTTACCACTAAACCAAAACCCATTACATGAGGAGAAACATGTTCCGTTTCTCCAGTCATATATGCATATTCACATTTTTATTAGGTTTATTATTTTACACTGTACATTGTAAAATTCCTTAGGGCAGAATTTTAAAACCCTTGCTCTTTTAATTGTTTCCAGTTTCCTGTGAGTACCATCCAGATGTCTAGACCTCATTCCCTAGCCAGCATTTCTACTGCTGAGCTCTTCTTGTTGATGTCCACACATTTGGAGGGCAAAGATTATGGAAGGATATTTTATACTCTTAGAAAACATTTATCCTGCTGCATAAACAAATAGAAATGTTGAAGCTGCCCTGAGTTTATGTCATTAATTGCTCTTGCCGCATCCTCACTAAATATATATATATATATATATATATATATATATATATATATATATATATATATATATATATATATATATTAAAAATTACATTAAAAATTAAAGAATAGCGATTCCTGGGTACATACATTTCAGTAAAAAAGGAAGCGATCACCAGGAAATAAAACACCAAGGTTTTAATAAATAAAAAAAAATCAAGCTTTCGATGGCTAACATCTGCCATCATCATCAGGATAAAAGCCAGCTAGTGAGGAAACCTGCTTATAAGCATAGCCACACCTAAACTCTAGCATGGACCTTGTAACAGGTCCAAACCAACTAATCCTTACTTGACTTACAGCCTTCAGTAATTCTTTCTTTTAGCTCTTACTTACATCCACCTAGCTTTCAAAGGCTAGCACCTGCCATCATCGTCAGAATACAAGCCAGCTAATGAGGAAACCTGCTTATAAGCATAGCCACGCCTAAACTTTACGCATGGACCTTGTAACAGGTCCAAGCCGACTAATCTTTGCTTCACTTACAGCCTTCAGTGATTCTTTCTTATAGTTCTTACTTACATCCACACAACCACCCACTTCCCCCCTCCCTTTAGTTCTTGAGTCATATAGGCAACGTGTGTTTCTCAAAATTAAAGGGTCCTCTGCATTATTGAGTTGATTCTTCTTCCTGTGTTCCTTCGGACGTTTCTCTCCTCCACTCCTCCAGCACGCATCGCACTCATTTGCATTCTTCAATCCTGTCACTCCTTCAACCCCCCCCCCACAATCCTTGCCACCAATCTAATCCACACTTTTACTCCCCCCCACTGTTCCCAGCGTATCGCATCCTCCGTGCTCCTCCTTCGTGCCATCCGGTGCAACTCTCAATCCGGTTGCCTCTCTTTCAGTCTTCCGTAACGCCGCTCTCCGCGAGCGTGTGACCACCCCCATAACGGGGCAGCTGTAAGTATTGATCTTCTGTACATCCATTGAAGGCATGTCTCTGTCTCGGTGGCTCTGATCGGTGCGGCCACATAGCAAAGGTGTTATTCTGCCGTTGCTCGTAGTAGGTGTTGCCTTTTTTGAATTCCTATCCATTTCCAAGGCACCGGCAACCAGGTGCGTTGTAGCGGGGGCCTCTTCACCTCTATCCCACAGGACCTGGCCGTTGCGACGATCAAAGATCTTTTGAGCCGCAGAGGACCAGGACATTACCAGGATTCACTCGGCTCTGATGACCTTGTGGACCTTCTAGTCCTTTGCCCCAAAACGTATTTTACGTTTCAGGGCACAATGTATGAGCAAATAAAGGGCACCCCCATGGGGTCACCTATTTCAAGTGTTATTGCTGAGGCTGTATTGCAGCAGTTGGAACATGTAGCGATGATCCAGTACTGCCCAAAGTTCTGGGCCCGCTACGTTGATGACACGTTTGTCATAATTAAGAGGAGTCAAAAAGCTGACTTTGTGGACACACTTAATTCGGTGTGCGTGGACCTGCAATTTACGGAGGAGTAGGAGTATCAGGGTAAGCTGGCATTTCTTGATGTCTTAGTCCAACGCCAGCCGGATGGGACCTTAACTACCCGGATCTATCGCAAACCCACGCACACCGATAGAATTTTGCATTACAACAGCAATCACCCGCTGGCCCACAAAGTCAGCTGCATTAGAACCCTCTTTAAGAGGGTGGACTCCCATTGCAGTACAGCCGAAGCTAGGATGGAGGAAAGAAAACACCTCCTCCATCTCTGTAGGTACAATGAGTACCCCATGAAATTCATCGGATGCCACAGTACTCTGTCCCAACCATCCCAAAATCCATCAAGTGGGATGGTACCATCACAGATGACTCGTATCACCCTCCCTTACATTAGCAACATCTCGGAAGCCACCACCAGACTATTGGCACCCTATGGTGTAAGGGTTGCATATAGACCTGACCGGACGTTGCGTTCCTGCATTATGAGACCAAAGGACCCACTCCCCATAGTTGAGAGATCTGGAGTTGTTTACAGGATTAACTGTAATGACTGCCCAGGCAATCATGTGGGAGAAACTTCCAAAAGGGTCAGAACAAGAATGCAGGAACACAAGCTGGCAATAAGAAGAGGTGAGCAATACTCCGAAATACTGACTCACACAGAGGAGTTTGGTCATAAATTTAATTTTGACGACGTAAGGGTGGTTGCCAGTGACACCTCCAAAAGTGGTAGGTTACTCAAAGAAGCCTGGTTTTCAGACAGCATGTCAATCAATAGACATGTGGACCTACGCCCAGCATATCAGACCATGAAGGCGTGGGAAATGCGTAGACGACCTGGGAAAAAACATCTGAGTAACAAAAACTCTGGGTGTCCATTAGATGAAACTGGCAACAAAAAAGAAAGACATCTACAATCTAGACCCCTTTAGTTAACGATTCGTGTGTACATCCACCGTTAATTAAGAAATTTATTGATATTAGTGGCCCATTCTCGGATGCCCCAGACACCTCCTTGCATTGTACCCAATACTCAAGAATAAGAACAACAAGTGTCCCAATTAACACAAAACAAACTCGCTACCCCAGTGACCATATCGGCTCCACTGTCCCCAATGGTGCCCCCGCTACAATGCACCTGGTCGCCAGTGCCTTGGAAATGGATAGGAATTCAAAAAAGGCAACACCTACTACGAGCGACAGCAGAATAACACCTTTGCTATGTGGCCGCACCGATCAGAGCCACCGAGACAGAGACATGCCTTCAATGGATGTACAGAAGATCAATACTTACAGCTGCCCCGTTATGGGGGTGGTCACACGCTCCCGGAGAGCGGCGTTATGGAAGACTGAAAGAGAGGCAACCGGATTGAGAGTTGCACCGGATGGCATGAAGGAGGAGCACGGAGGATGCGATACGCTGGGAACAGTGGGGGAAATAAAAGTGTGGATGAGATTGGTGGCAAGGATTGTGGGGGGGTTGAAGGAGTGACAGGATTGAAGAATGCAAATGAGTGCGATGCGTGCCGGAGGAGTGGAGAAGAGAAACGTCCCAAGGAACACAGGAAGAAGAACCAACTCAATAGTGCAGAGGACCCTTTAATTTTGAGAAACACACGTTGCCTATATGACTCAGGAATTAAAGGGAGGGGGGAAGTGGGTGGTTGTGTGGATGTAAGTAAGAACTATAAGAAAGAATCATTGAAGGCTATAAGTGAAGCAAGGATTAGTCGGCTTGGACCTGTTACAAGGTCCATGCGTAGAGTTTAGGCGTGGCTATGCTTATAAGCAGGTTTCCTCACTAGCTAGCTTGTATTCTGACGATGATGGCAGGTGCTAGCCATTGAAAGCTAGGTGGATGTAAGTAAGAGTTAAAAGAAAGAATCACTGAAGGCTGTAAGTGAAATAAGGATTAGTTGGCTTGGACCTGTTACAAGGTCCATGCTAGAGTTTAGGTGTGGCTATGCTTATAAGCAGGTTTCCTCACTAGCTGGCTTGTATCCTGACAATGATGGCAGATGTTAGCCACTGAAAACTTGATTTTATTTATTAAAACCTTGGTGTTTTATTTCCTGGTGATCGCTTCCTTTTTTACTGATATAATATATATATATATATAATATAGACCTCTGTTTTCTTGACTCTGAGTGCCTCTGTGTGGCCAATCCTGGCAATAGAGAAATAAAATTCCATTATCAAGGACATTTTTCTTTATCATGAAAGGTTCTCTTTTTTTTAAAAAAAAAAATATTACATTACATTTCAGATGCTTTGCTTTCTGCTTTCAACATCTAAATAGCTTACAAATAAGGCACAATACAATAGCCATATCAACATGTTTTTTAATGCATGTGCAGGCAAAAATACAATGTAAGTTCTCTTTCTTTTTTAAAACTCATCTTCCTTTTGAGCAAACTGCATCCTTGAACTGCTGTATTTCAAAGCATGAGAATCACCTCAGCAAATTTCATTTATACCTATTAAATTGTATTTGCCTCCCTATAATTAGAATTCAAACTCAGACTATTTATTTTCACAGTGGCAGCTTTAATGAAAGAGCTGTGAAATGAATGAGTCGGTGTCCCGATTGTTCATTGAGTAATTTAAATAAGACCTAGTTTAGTTATTCTCCCACTCACTCTTGCAGTGCACAAGTTTTTATTGGATGTTATTATTTTATTAACCTATGTTAATGTACCAGCAGTTCACCATCCATGTTATACAGACCATACAGAAACCAAATCTCTTCCGTAAACAACACTCAGGTAACCAGACATTCATTTGGAATATTAATTCCCTTTCCAGGGTCTCTCAGTGGATTGGATGAATCCCATTTTGTCCTCTAAGTTCTTCAGCTTTCTTCCTAGAACTTCATAGCCTGCAGAGTGTAACTGTAGCTGCTTAGCATTCATCCCCTTGTGGGCGAGTAGATGTAGGCATCTTCCAGTTGGCTTTATGAGCCTCTGATCTGTCTTCTTGTTTTTCACTCTATCTCAGGGGTTCTCAACCTTGGCAACTTTAAGGCTTGTGGACTTCAACTCCCAGAATTCCTCAGCCAGTCCACAAGTCTTAAAGTTGCCAAGGTTGAGAACCCCTGCTCTATCTTGTATCAAACCTATATAGCCACCTATCTTACAAGAAGTGACTCTGGGTAGCACACAACAAATTAGTGTTTCTCCAATGTTATTTCTTAACGTATATATATCTATTCACCACTGTCCCTTAAAATACTTAATTTTTTTTTTTGAAAGCTAGTGCTCTTTGTATTACAGGTAATTCTTGACTTATGATCACAACTGAGCCCAAAATGTTGTTGCTAAGTGAATTATTTGTTAAGTAAATTTTGCCTCATTTTACCATCTTTTGTGCCACAATTGTTAAGTGAGTCACTGCAATCGTTCAGTTAATAACACAGTTGTTAAGCGAATCTGGTTTCCCCATTGCTTGTCAGAAGGTCACAAAAGATGATCACATGATCCCGGAACATTACGACCGTTATAAATATGAGTCAGTTGCCAAGCATCCTAATTTTAATCACATGACCCTGGGGACACTATAACTGTTGTAAGTGTGAAAAACAGCCGTAAGTCACTTTTTTCAATGCTGTTGTAACTTTGAATGGTCACTAAATGAATGGTTGTAAGTCGAGGACTACCTGTAATTTCCTTTAGAACAGACATGTCAAACACAAGGCCTGGGGGCCGGATGCGGCCCGTGAAGTGATTTCATGTGGCCTGGAAAACCATCTAGGAAACAGTGAGGGAACGGCCCCCGCTGCCATGGCCATGGCCCTGGCCCAGGCCAGCCGGGAGCCAATGTACAATTTTGTGGTGGCCATCTTGGCACTTGCCCCGGTCCCACCCCCTTCTGCCAGAGACCCTCAGATCTCTCCCACTCCTGCCCCGGCCCCCATAGGCACCCTTGATGCACATGTAGAACTGGCCACGCCCACCCATTAGGCCACACCCACTCCATCCACACCCATCCAATAGGCTGCACCCACTCTGGCCACACACCCCCATCCCCCCCGAGTAATCGCAATGCTGATGCGGCCCTCAGTGAAATTGCTTTAGAATATTAGACGTTTAAAACATGAAGATGAGTGTGACAATTTTTTCTTCTCAATTTGGAAATCAGGATTGCTAGGAATAATTCTCCCACTCCCTAGACCAGAGGTTCCCAATCTTTTGGGCACCAGGGACCAGTTCCGTGGAGAGAGGTTTTTCCACAGACCAGAAGGTACCTGGTTTTGTGTGCTGCCTGCATCCCACGAATGGGGCTTTGCTTGTTTGTGCAGACTGGTTGCTGGCATTCCGTGGCCCGGTACTGGTTCCCGGACCGGGGGTTGGAGACCCCTGCCCCAGACTGAGGATTCAGTATGAAACTGCTGTCCCAGTACCACAGCAATGCAAAAATTCTGAACATTTTCTGCGGAAAAAAAGGAGCAGCACTGCTAGAACCCCCAAAGGTCCATGGAATCCCATAATCATTTCATGTACAAATGAGGTAGTCCTCGTTTAAAGACCAGTTAGGACTGACAACTTGGTTATTCAGCAAAGTGGTCACTAAGTTAAAACTGTGAGTGTGCTTATGATCTTACTTCACCTCTCCTTTGCTTTACAGTCCTCCAAAGGTTGTAAATGTAAGGATGGCTCACAATTTAATTTTTCATCCCTTTCCTAACTATTAATTAAAGGAGGCAGCTGCTAAACGAAGATCAGCTGTACCTCTCCTCTATATACCATTTTGCAGATATTTTGAGTTGGACAGCACCTAAATTTAAATACTTAATTGCATAGATAAACAAGAAAAACTCAATAAAGAATAGATTTATCCCCTCTTTACTCAAAGAATAAGTCGAAGCTGCCAAAGGTGTGTGCATGTATGAAATGCTCTGAACGCATGCCATATTTCAGCTTAGAGAAGTGAGCTCACTATGCAATGCTACTTGTCATGATCTTTTCTGCTTACCCATTTCTAGGTATTCGTAGAAGAGACCCAATGCGCCAAAGCTCTGCAAATCATGGTCCTGCTCCCATCGACTGTATAAATTCTCTGGGTTATGTTTCGCCTTCCGACGACCCCACCAATTACAAATCCAGCTAAAGAGGGGGAGGGGGAACCAGAAATCACTATTATATAGCTTTTTTAAAAAAAAGCAGAATTACATAATTCTATGAATTGACACCACATGTATTTTCAGGGTTGTTTTTTTCTTTCAATTGTAAAGTATTTTCCGATATACCTGCTACAAAAATTACTATCAATTTCTCATGTTGGGTTAGAGAGAGTTACATTCTAAATCCCATGATTACATCTAAGTGGAACTGAACAGCAGAAACGCTGTGTCAGCTGTCCTCAAGATATACCAGGGTTGTTATCTGAAAACCTGATGTAATATAGTAGTGTCAAGATACCTGTAAAGATTGTGTTGATATTGATTCATTAAACTTAAGCTGAAGGAGATGGCAGAATACACCAAATATTCAATTAGCTCTGACTGTCTTTTAATTATACAAATAACTCAGTATTAAGATATTACTTACGGGACTATGGCTTCTTGAATATTACCCCAGATCTGTTTGCCAGCCATGACAATGGTGAGCTGGGTGGTCAGTTCTATCAAGCATCCTGCAGGATCACACTGGTAAAGAAATCAAACAAAAAGGCAGTTTGGCATGCCTCAATAGTGATGGGGACATGCCTAACACAAGAGTTATTTCAAAAATCAACAGATGTGGGCAGTTTGCTTTCTTCTCTCAATGACATGAAGAAAAATATTCCCCATGGCTTACCTATCAAATGTTAGATGTTAGCCTTCCATAAAGCTTTAAAAACCTGGCTATGCTCCCGAGCCTGGGACAATACATGTGTCAAAGACACAACTCCTGGCTATATTGTTAACAGGCCAGATGCCTTGCTTTGAATGTATTCAAATTAGATGTTTTAATATTTGGGTTTTTTTTTAGTTTTCAATGGTTTTTACTGTTTTTTATTCTTTTGAAATGTTTAAAAGATTTTAATTGTAATATATGTTTCTGGATTGTGAACTGCCCAGAGTCATTAGCTGAGATGGGAGGGCTATGCAAATCAAATCAATCAATTAATTAATAAGAAAGACTTATCAGTAGAGAAATTTCACAACTCACGTCAAGGAGATGCTATTTGCTACTGCATTCATAATGTGTCTTAACCTTACCACTAGTTAATTGTATGTAGTCATAAAAAAAAAATCTTTTGGCAGTTCTTTTTTTTTAAAAATGAGGACATATAAATACGATAGAGCCAGGTCAAGGGGTACGTACGGTACACTAATAACACATACACAAACATGTGTTATATTTGTTTGTCTATTTGGTTATATGTACAGATAATATTCCATTTCTGCCTTCACTGTACTTTGCCTATTTTATCTTTTAGTTTTCTTCCCCATGCAAAACTTCTGAGTTCCTTTTCTTGTCCTCATTAATGCAGATTTCTAATTCAGGAAAGAAACTTGTTCCCAAAATGTTTTGTCAGCCTTGCAGATGTTGCCTTTACAATTTCTGCATCATGTTGAATTTATAGAAAAAAAATAACATAAGACCTATTAGCCTTCCACCTCAAGATATAACTTTAGAAATATACTCAATAGCTTCTCTTTTTCATTTTTAGTAAATATCTTATAAATCTGTGAACTTTCCCTCTTCAAAAAATATTTTTTTCATTATGTTTAGTTTTCTATACTTCAAAGCAAGGTATTTAGAATGATGGACAATTTTTCTTCAAAATTCGTTTTAAAAGTTATTACATACCTCTTCATTTCTCCAGCGACTGAACATGTATGTATAAGAACCAGGGTATCCTACAAATTTCCCTTTGAAAAAAGCTACATAGAAGCATGAAGAGTAGTAGTTGACAAACTGAAAGAGGAACATCTTCATAGTAAGTCTGTTTTCATATTCATAGTGGGTTCTTGGTATTTCTGCAAGATAAAATAAACAAGGATTTAATTCTCTTTATATCATGTAGAGCAGACATGTCAAACTCGCGACGTCATATGATGTCGCACAACGTATCAGGATGGTTTTGCCCTTGCTGGCAATGGGGTGGGCATGGCTTCTGCATGACACATCTGACCTGCAGGCCAGCAATCTGACACCCCTGAAATAGAGTATTAATGTTTATGAAGCCTCTGGAATATGACAATAGGCTTCAATATTGCAAAGTTTATTTCTCTAAGAGAGCATTTGTAGAGCTATGAATCTACTTAGAGTCACCATGTATGAGTTGGGTGGCCATATACATTTGCTTAATAAATAGAATAAATTATCTTTTGCCCACAGAGTGTAACGTGTACAGAACAAGGAAACAAAGTTGATGTCATTCCTAGGTGATTTAACTAACATAGAATCAATTTGTGGAAGTAAATAGTTGTATCCTATTTCTTTTATGCACAATATAAATATAAACAAAGCTCTCATTAATTCAAGCAAAATAATATTTGAGACACATTTCATGAAGAACTTCCTTGCCTTTTGTCAAGAGACAGATATTGTAATCATGAGAAAACAGAAGCAATTTTGCCCAAGTAACCTCCTGAGAGCTCCATTTGCAGTCAGATAAAATCATTATTACCACTGTTGACCCCATAGCTCTTAGGAAGGTACAAGCTAAGAATTAGCAATCATACAGCTGGAATGCAAGTCAGATCATCTAAAAGCAAAGAAGCCATAAGAGATAAAGTAGACTTCCTCAAACTGCCATTCTCCAGATAAATTGGATTATGAATTCCATCATTCTCTGAAAGCAAGGCTAATAGAGGACCCCAGGCTGGGGATAGCTGACATAAAGCAAGAACCCCAAAGACTTTTAGGCTGACAGAAAAAGTTCTGCAAGTTCTATTTTCATGTGCTGATGATTTCAGCCTATGTAGCAGAGGGGCAGAAAATGTACAGAGGGTGTAAGCTTAGTCATCATGCAACATACTTACCCATATCTGTGATCCAGATGGCTATCCTCTCATATAGGAAATTCAGTATCATAATGATGATAAAATTGAGGAATGATGCTGTGACTGACGTTGCCAGTTGTGGTGTCAACAAACCTCGAATGGGTTGCAGCGTTTCTGTGTTCTCCATAATGCTGGCAAAAGCAGCATAGACTGCAAGGCGGTAAACTATCACAGCTATCATGCTTGCTATGATTAAAGAGATCTGAGATAATCACATAAATTAGACTACTTAGGATTTGAAACCAAAGAAATTAATGTTTCATGCAAACTGCACATTGTGAATAAAATTTTAGAAACTTCTATCAAGACTGCAGAATATAAGTAGAAGAAAACTTTATCTGAATATTTTTCCAGTGCATATTCCACAATGGAAGTAGATCACTTGTTTTTTCTTTTAGTTTTAAGTTAAAAAAAAATCTTTGTTATTTTCTCCTTTCTATTCAGAGGAGAATTAAGCATGCAGTTCTTCATCTTTGTGCTAAGGACCTATAGTCCCAGTGGATCTGTAATATTTGTTTTTTAATTAATTTTAAACGTGTCACGCACATTCATGTAAAGCATCCCAGTGCAATTGTATCACATAATCCATATAATATTATGTAGCTATAGTAGCAACATAAGTAGCAAGGTAAATAATTACACAATATTTAAAACTGGATAGGAGGAGAAACTTAAGCCATATATTATGTATTCATTGTGTACTTTGCATGACAACAGGAAAATAAAACTGGAAAATGTTAGTTAAAGATTCTGGAAGCAACAAGCATGAGTGAAAGAGATCCAGAAGCATCTTAAAAATTCAAGCTTAAAAGTGATCAGTGCCGTGTTAGAGGGATGAATCAAAAAGAGCTCACCCAGAACAACACTGTAGTTCCTGAGATGCAGAACCGTACAGCCTGGCTAGTTAGAGGTAAATAAGGCTCCAGTTCCTGAAACAGTCAAGCAAGCACAGCATTTTTCACCACCCGCAGTCACAGTTGTATGTAGACCACTGCAGAAAGCAACCTCAAACATTATGAGAAAGCAAATCATGTATCCCCTCCCTCACAAATGCGTAAAATGGCACATTTCCTCTTTTGGGAGAAAAGCAGGAGTGGAACACTGAATGAGATGTTGCTTATTTACCAAGTCATCCTATTATTTATTTATGGCTTTACAATCACTTTATGAACAAAACGTTGCTACTTGAAAGTTGAGAGCAGATTTCTTTTCAATTGTCAATATTAATTGTTCAGCAAATTGTTCAGTAGATACTCCCATTCATCACTCCATATTCTGATGCTTTTTGTTGTCCCACTTGAAGAAATGGCTTGTTTTATTAGTTTTGCCACTCTAAGCTGCAGCAATTGTGCAGCCCTCTCTTACCCAAAAAAATATTCCACAGTACAACAAGCTCAGTTTTCCATAGTCATGAATGCTCTTCCTCTTAAACAGTTCTAACTCCTAAAACATCAGTCAAAAAAGGAATAATTAAAGAATGAAAATCAATTGATTTTTAACGGGATTTTGGATTGATTAAAATAATCATGGCTTGGTTTGCAAAGAAATGCACAAACCTCTCGCCTGTGTACTGTACATAATCCTTCAAATATTTTATTTCTGGAAGGGAAGGATTCCAAAGAGTGGATGAAAAGGTCAATTCTGTATGCAGTTATCATGTTTGCTCACATAGATCCAATGTGTTCACATACACAAATAACAGAAGCATATATCTTTCATTTCCCAAATAGGTCTTCATCACTGGCAAATTATAAACAGTTTTAATTAGCAGAACTATAAATACATAATGTCAAAATATCTTAACTGCCTTTCCAGGTAGATACAGTGCTATCTGTCCCTTCAGCCACTTGGGCTTTCAGAGACAATGACAATTCTATGAAAAGAGAGGGAGAAGGAAAGGGAGGGAGAGAGAGAGAGAGAGAGAGAGAAAGAGAGAAAGAGAGAAAGAAAGAGAGACACTCACACAGATAGACACAGAGAGAGAGACAGAGAGAGACACACACACACACACAGAGACGGAGAGACAGAGGAAGACACACACAGAGAGAGAGAGAGACAGAGAGACACAGAGAGAGGCACACAGAGAGACACAGACAGCTAGAGACAGAGACAGAGAGAGACAGAGAGACACAGAGATAGAAAGAGAGAGACACACAGAGAGAGAGAGAGACAGAGAGAGAGATAGGGACACACAGAGACAGAGACACACACAGAAAGAGACAGAGAGACAGAGATAGAGAGACAGAGAGATACAGAGAGAGAGACAGAGACACAGAGAGAGAGTGACACAGAGAGAGAGACACACACAGAGAAAGAGACAGAGATAGAGGGAGACAGAGAAAGAGAGACAGACAGAGAGAGAGAGAGACAGAGAGAGAGAGAGACAGACACACACAGAGAGAATCAGAGAGAGAGAGAGAGAGAGACAGACAGACAGAGACAGAGACGGGTAAGATTCTGTGGGATTGTCTTAGAGACCAGCAAGTATTGCCCAATCAAGCAAATATTATGATATAGGCAAGGGCCAGAAGACAGAGATGGGATAGATTTAGCAGTGCTAAGTGACAGCAACCTCAGGAAGAAAGAGTATGAAAAGCTAGAGAAGTACCAGGCCTGAAGGAAGAATTAAGATGTGAAAAATAAAGATGAAAGTGATCCAGTGGTAGTAGAGCAACTACTGGGACTATGACCCTTGCAATAGATCCTAGAATGTATATGCTTCTCTGTCCAGAAAAGCGCAGTGTTAGAACAGCTAAAATACTGTGCAGAACTCTCACATTCCCAGGCCTCTAGTAGAGGACCTCAGACTGAGGAAGACGCGTATCATCCATAGGGGTGAAAAGGGAATTTTATAAATAATGGATCAGGATGCAGCCACAGAACTCCAAATTTACCAGGATTGTTTTTATTTCCTGACTGAGCAGAAAAAATATATATGAAAGAATAGGATTTTTTGGGGGGGAGGGAGAACCTAACTGGGCAGGAATATTTGTGAAAAGGATCTATATTCTTGCTCACACAAAGTTAAACATGAGCAAACAATGTTATGTAACTATTAAAAATGGCAAATGCTACCTTGGGGTGGACACTATTTTGAAGAGGTTATTGTTATTGTTCCACTATTCTCTGCCCTGGTTGCAATATTGGGTCCAATCCTGGACATCACACAACAAGCTGAATAAAGTTCAAGACAGGGCTTCCAAGATGGCAAGCATCTTGAAAAATAAGGCTTTTGAAAAGCAGTTTAAAAAACACTGTTTCACCGAAAGCAAGTGGAGTTCTATATTTCACCCCGAGAGCAGAACCAGAACAATGGGTTAACATTGTACGAAAGTAGGTTCAGAATAGATGTAAAGAGGACTTCCTATTGTGGAGGAAGTCTCAAATGAAATAATGAGTATTTTCTTATTGGATGTCTTCAGAGAAATAAAAGAACTGAGAAACAGACCTAGATAGCTAAAATAATAATGCATTTATTTCAGCCAGAATTGAACACCACAAGCCAACTGCATCCACTTAACCATGATCTACAGAGATTGAAAATGAATATTCAGCTTCTTAGCTGGCAAAAATATACCTATGCTTTTGGACTGTATCAATAATATCCATCACACAAAAGTGGAAAAAGCAGCGCTCCAAATATCCCAAATTAGGTGGTGCCAATGATACCCCTATAGCAGAATTTCTTTAGATTTAGAAAGCTAGCAAGTCAGGGGAAACATTAACTAGAAACTTTATTCCTAATATTATAAACTTTATTCCTAATATTATATCTCCCCAAATGAAGGCTTTACTTTATAGCAGTAAAGTAGTATGAAAATGAGAACTAAATCTTCATATTTCTTTCTGAATAGCTGAACCAATTTCAAGATCACAGTAAATTAGATAAACATGTTAATGCATATTCCTAGTAAAATGCTATTTGATCACCTATGGGAAATCCAGGTACCCCATTATCAGAGTTTCAGACAATAACCTAACTGCTGATGTTTAAAATGAACTTGCATTTTAATAACTATATAATTGTAAAACCTGTCAAAGCACTACATGTCTATCATATCCTGGAACAAATGTGTATTCTTAGCTGGCATATTAAACTGAACTACTGTGTTTCCACGAAAATAAGAATGGGGCTTTTTTTTTCCTTTTGCCTTCAAAAGAGGCACCGGGTCTTATTTTCAGAGTAAGCCTTACCTCACCTCCAGCACTGACAGCCCCACCCAGCGGTCCACTTCTTCTGGGGTCGAAGTTCTGCAGCTGCATTCGGGCCTGCATAGAAAGCCTAAGCAGCTGAGTACCGAGCTATGGATTCAATCCATAGCTTGGTGCTCGGCTGCCGAGGTCTTGCAGAACCAGTTCTTAGCTGCACAGTTCTTCCGGAAAGCCCCGTGGCTGAGAAATGCAGGCCTGGCTGCAGAAGTGGGCTGGCAAAGAGAGGCCTGGCTGCAAGGTAAGTGGGTGTGGGGTGGGTGGCGCAATTCCACACCCCCACCCTAGCTTGATTTTTAGGTGTGTGCCTCACCCCCCAAACAAGGGCTTATTTTTGGGATACAGCTTATATTAGGCCCACCCCCAAAAATCAAGCTAGGGCTTATTGTTGGTGTAGGCCTTACTTTTGGGCAAACGCGGTTGCATAGTAGGTCTTGAGAGCATGCTCACCTAAGGGTTCTCCAAAAAAAGCTACCTAAATCTTATTAATTCTACAACCTGCAAATTATTTTTTATCTTCTAAGTAAGCAAAACAAAATTACCTGAGTTACTGGATTCTTCCTCTTTTGAGTACATTTTGCTTCATACTCTGGTCTAAGTTGGAGTTGTTGCTGTTCTTCCTCAAAATCAACCAAATCCCACTCATATTCAAGTCGAGCTTGTCTTCGCTTCCAAAATTCCAAGAAAAGTGTAACTACAATTCAGAGAGGGTTAGGCAACATAGAATTAGCTAAACATATTTTGGGATAGCATAAAACCATAATGTGAAGTAGTATCTACTATTTTAGTAACATAGTAACAGAACAACAGAGTTGGAAGGGATCTTGGAGGTCATCTAGTCCAACCCCCTTGTCAAGCAGGAGACCCTATACTATTCTGGACAAAAGGCTGTCCAAACTATTCTTAAAACCTCCAGTGATGGAGTACCCACAACTTCTGGAGGCAAGCCAGAAGTAATAATTACTTATACAAACATTTATTTACAAAAAAGTTTGTTAATTATCTTATAGAAATGATTGTTTTTTTATTATAAATGTTGATATTGTTATATCAACAGGATCTCAGCTGGTCAGGATTAACCAGTTGCATTAAAGCACAACTAAAATCTTACTCATCTAATTCACTGAATTTTGGTTAATAAATATATTTAGGGAAAGACTGATATTATAGATGTTCAGCATAAAGGGAAGAATACCATGCCTGAAACTTTGTCCCTATCAGTCAACTGACAACAATGGTTTAATTCAATTTTCCAGTTTTCTTTCAGATCAATAATGTTTAAAATTTGTCACAGTAGTACAACAAAGCTTTGTATCCTGAACAGCTTTTCTATAAATGGAATGGAGTCTGATTAAGCACAGATTATTTACATATCTCTTATTTATTTTGTGGAATTTCTGTAACACCATTTAAATGTGAGAAGTATACAAATCAAAACATAAAATCATCTCTGAATAAATAACTCCCAACTCCTTAAAATTAATTCTGAAAACATTAACAATAAAACAAGTGTACTTACCCCAGATGCCCATAAATATTGCAAAAAAGAGGGTTGCCACATTGTCAAACAAATGGGAATACTAGAATTGAAAAACAGGCATTGTACATTAGAATAATACATGAAAGTATGTATTTTTGAAAATACAAATGCTGTAAGTGTTACGAACCTGTGAAGACTCACAAGTAGAATTCAATCTCCAGTAATCGCATTTTCGATCACATAATGGACACATGATAATTTCACCACCAATACCGGGATGACATATTTCTTTGCTAAAGAGGATAGATAAAGATGTGGTGTATTTAATAAAACATATTTAAGAGATAATAGTGCTTGTGTACAATCAAAATTAACCTCTGTCTTTCAATACATGGTAAGAAACTATATCTGAGCCATTATTATGGCATAGGTTATAGTTTCTGCCACTGGATATTAGATTTATGTTGAAATATATGCAAATCAGTTCATCGGGTTAAGCCAGAATCCTTATCTAAAATCATACATCTTAAAAAAAGAAAGTAAGAAATAAAACTTCATCATTAACTGATTGACGTAATTTAACTAATGTTGCTTTGTCAACTATACTTACCTGCTCATATTTTCATTCATTGTGAACAAACCATACAGAAAACAAATGAAGCCAACAACAGCTGCAAAGAACAGCATCTCAGTATAAAAACCCAGCCAGGCAAAATAGATTCCAATCTTCTCTCCGTAATATTTCCTGCAAGAAAATAATCCAAGAAAAACAAAGGCAAAGCTTAAAATAGCAATAAAGGGCAAAATGTGGATATAACTTACTGCAAAATAATCCTCAGTTTATTCACCCCTGAATATTCTAATACTGGATCCCCCTCCTCCCTCCCTCCCTCTCTATCTATCTCTATCTCTCTTTATCTCTTTCTGTCTATATAAAATATCTTGACTTATTATCAAACCAGTTCTCCTAATTATTTTATTCTGCATTTTCTTGGTCTTTTATATCAGGACATGCTTCAAAATGTTTGGAAAAAATGGCAACACAGCAACTCTTCGATATCTATTGAAGTAGCCTTTTTTAAAAGACTTCTATGTGAGTGTGAAAAAATATGAAATTGCTCTAAGGTGTTAACTTGTATTTGTTCCTCAACCTTGGCAAATTTAAGATATGTAGACTTCAACTCCCAGAATTCTCCAGCCATACTGTTCTGTATTACTCTTGAAGCAACTGCAAGGTTATTTTTTTTTCAGACTTGTGTGGAAGCTGGGAAAGAGATGGACAGAAAGGTGCTGTGCTCCTATATGATCAAAAGCATGTCTTCCAAATTATTTTCCAAACATATACTGCTTGATTTTTACATTATATTCCACATATAAAGTTATTGTTTATAAAAAGAAATACAGGCATGTAATATAGCATGTATTAGAGCCCTGGCGGCGCAGTTGTTAAAATGTAGTATTGCAGGCTGACTCTGCCACAGGCAGGAGTTCGATCCTGATTGACTCAAGGTTGACTCAGCCTTCCATCTTTCCAAGGTCGGTAAAATGAGATTTGTCCCCAGATTGTTGGGGACAAAACGCTCAGAGACTGCTATAAAGCACTCTGGAACAGTATATAAGTCTAAGTGCTATTGCTATATTTCTGAAAGGCCCAACGGCCATTAATATATCAGGGAAATCATTTACCTGATAAGATCCAAGGGCTGTTCCTTGTAAAATCTAGGAAACCGGGCCCATTCCCTATGTAAGGTATATCTTTCATTTTCACACTTTGGATCATTTGACTTCTTCCAGTACTGACACTGAATCAGCATGAAAAAAATAAAGAAGACACAAAATAAGTCAGCAAATAGCAACATAATCTCTCCAACAATACTACTGTAATATACAAAATAAATCTATGGGTGGTTCTATGTTTAACAGAGAGACATCTCCACATTCATATAGAAATAGAATGTATTTATTTATTTATAGAGCTATATGGCAGCTCAACGCAGACCATGTGATTCGGAAAGAAAGACAGACAAATGGAAATAAAAATAGATAAGGAAAGGAAAGAGCATACAGTAGAGAAAGAAAGTGATATACGTCTATGTAAATATAAAGTTGTGGAGAGAAGCAATATTCAGCTATTCATATAGCATGAGAAATGTTTATGTATTTGTTATTTAATATGAAATTTAGAGAGACTATCTTCATCTTAAATATAGAGTTAAGTGATTCTGAATAATCAATGTAGGTAATAGTTCCTTTTCAACTTTTCTGGGAGAATATCAGAATTAATAAGACTGTTCTCCAAGCTAAATTATATGTATGTGTGTATGCATGTGTATATACATATACATACATATACATACATACATACATACATACATATATATACACACACACATACATATACACACACACACACATACATACACACACAAACATACACACGCATACATGTATGCACACACACACAGAAAATACAAATCTCTCCAGTAAGCGTTCATTGCTTGCCACCAGAGGGCAATATAATACTAATCTCTAAAACCTCTAATGCTCTTGTCATCACTTCATTCTACAATTATAAGTGGATATTGTTCTTTCTCTCCTCCCGATTTCACTTTTTCTGAGGTATTTTAGCATACATATACATTCACACATCTTTAATATAAGCAATTCCATAATAATATTCGCAATTACAAAAACCATAGATACTGGCCTATTTGAAGGCAAAGACAAACGTATCCAAATACAATTTTCAGAGAAAGACAGGTTTCCTTCAGAAAATAGGCAAATGAATGAATGACTAAAATGCCTACATCATGAAGAGGGTAAGCAGAAGAGTAGGTGCCATTATTTAGAAGTCTTTTGATTCCAAACTTCTTCTTCCCTTCTTCTGTTCCATATGGGCACCTTGTTAAAATATAAAAAACCTAGAAGAGAGGGGGAAAGAACTTTACAATTTTTAAATTTAAAATTATTGCCATATTATGTAAACTATGAGAATATAAAACTTTTCTTCATACTCTGGTGAAATTTGACATGTTAATTTTGATTGGTTAATTATACTACAGTAATTATGTCATTAAACTTTGAGGCCCTTTCTTCTTACAGTTTACAGAGGAAGCAGGTTTTCCCTGGCCTAGGATAAATGTTGGCTTGCAGGAATGTTATTGCTTTTGCTGTTTCAGTCTTCCAGTTAGGACCTAAACAACTGAATAGCAGCCCCACCACCTTATGTTTTTCAATATCTTTCTGAAGAAGTAGAAAAAACAGTGTGACTCTCCTACTAGGGATATACAGGTAGTCCTTAACTTACAACTACAATTGAGCCCAACATTTATGTTGTTAAGCGAGACATTTGTCAAGTGAATTTTGCCCCATTTTACGACCTTTCTTGCCATGTTTCTTAAGTGAATTGCTGCAGTTGCTAAGTTAGTAATGTGGCTGTTAAGTGAGCCTTTCTTCCCCATTGAAAGAAGGTCAGAATGTCGCAAAAGGTTGCAATGACCCCAGTACATTGCAACCGTCATGAATATGAGTTAGTTGCGAAGCGTATGAATTTTGATCATGGGACCACGGGGGAAGCTCTAATGGTCGTGTGAAAAACAGTCTTTTTTCAGTGCCTTTGTAACTTTGAATGGTCACTAAGTGAACTGTTGTAAGTCGAGGACTACCTGTATACATTTGACCATGTGAAGTTGTGTGCCTGTTACGACTGCAAACTTTCAAAGAGCTGGTGTGTTTGATGATGCTTCCTCCTTTGAAGATGCTTGGAGAAACAATGCTCCTCCACACACTTCTGAAGGCCCATTCCAATAATGAGGAAAGACAGGAAACACCTCCATGAAATGAACCAGTAATATTGGCAAAGAGCAACAAACAACAACGATCTGGCTACATCAGCAAGTCTAGAAGCTATGGCAGTGTTTTGGCAACAGAGTAAGCCAGGCATTTGGCTGAGAAGCCTTTGCTTGACCCTGCTGATTTCTCCCATATTTGGGTCTTCTGCAATTGCTGAGTCATCCTTTGTACTGTAATTCAGAGTGAGTCATTTAAATACAAAGGAAAGGCCCTTTCTGGCTAGAATAACCAAGGAAAAGAAAGCATATGCTGTTTTATGCTCAGGGAGCTTTTTCTCAATTGATTCTGTATGGCAAAACCAACCAACCAACCAGCCTACCACAAGTCAACAACACTACAGCATTTAGGACAATTTGACAGCAGGCATGTTGTGCTAGGCAGCATGTTCCCATCTAAGCCACAAACTGGCTTGTTGTATTGCACGATCACTGAAGTGGTAAATGAAGTACTCACTATTCTGTTTCTGACAGATGGCGAAAAAAACATATTCTCATCATCAATGAGGTACAATTCCTGTCTTTCTTTGCTAAATGGTGCTGTAAAGTAGTCCGGTTCAGGGTGCATCACAATCTCAGGTAGTCTAAATGGCCAGAATATGCAGTCCAATGGGTTTTCCACCATACAGGGAATATCATTCTCCTTGATGGGCATTTTGATGTTTAGCACTTCTGCATAAGTGATCAGAATTTCCCACGGGGCGTGAATCTTCACAAAATACGTTTTGCCATTTTCAGATTCCTGCAAATGAAATGATAAAGGCTTATTTGTAAATTAAGTAATTTGCCCTCCAAAGATATGGTGATGGCTACAAAGTCTAAGAAGTTGGACATCTACCCTTTTTATCCCTATGTATAATGAGGAAGGACAAAGTCCTCTGAATATTTCCAGCATTCACAAGGCTCTATTTTTCTCCCAGCATGTTCTTGCTATTCTTCTAGGGTGATTCATCCATACTTGGATGAGGTTTGCAGCATTTTAGAAAGAGTCCAAAATGAACAATCCCTGGAACAACCAGTCTGAAATCTTGTTTTTTTTTGGGGGGGGGGGAGGGAGAGCGATCTAAAACATTTTGGGATTGAAAATAAAAATGCTCATACAATTAGTGCTGAAGTCCTCCTGTGGCTTTTAAGTGTATGCCCATAAAATACACATATAGGAAACAAGGACACCTCAATCCTAATGGGTTAAAAGTGGCTTCTGAAACAGTTGTAAAAATCATCTCTAGGTTTGCCATTCACTTCATTGTACTTTAGTAGTATCTGTTTTAGAATCCGAGGCAGAAAAAGTTAGTCACACTTAAATGACTAAGGTTTAAATTAGTTATCACTAATTTTATTAGAATTATGGAAAATGGAGGAATACAACAAATTTAATTAAATTATAACTAATTTTCAGCTATCCTGATGAGTATTGACTAAGACCCTAGGAAATATATTTTCATATGGATAAGACTTGAAATTATTTTCTTTTGATTGCATCCATAATCTGAACATAATTTCAGAGCCAGTTATTTGGGGAAAAAAATACTGATACATGGTATGTTAAATATTTATTTATTTTATTTATTTATTTAGAGAATTTATATGGCTGCCCACTCACTTTCAGTGACTATGAGCAGCTCACCAAAAATAAGATATTGAGAATTGAGAACATTAAATAAGAGCAAATTAGCTAATAGCTAATATGGAGGTGGGGGGAAGAAGAAAAAGCAATCAATGTGTTAGATTATTCTCAATTATCAGCTTTCCATCCTTCAAAACAAAAGCCAGAAAACATTTTTAAAAATGCCAGTTTTTGAAACATAGTAAGGTTCAACATTCCACTTCTTCTCTTTATGTTCAAATCTTTTTTGACCATGCAGTTGCTGGTTATGTTTTTAGCTATTCCTATTTCTTTGAGATATTAGCAATATCACCTGATGGTAAATGGGCAGAATTTCACCCAGGAAAAAAATATCTACAATCAGTTGCAACCTGCATGGAATTATCTGTTACCTGGGATAGACATAAAAGTATGATATAAAATGGAGCAATCTCCCATTAACAACAACAACAAAAAAAGGATAGAATAGTAATGCATTTGTAAAAGACACAAATCAATTGTGGAAAGTACCCTTATGTACTACAGTTGCTTCAGAGAGAAACTTGTATTATTTTCTGATTACCAGGTTTTATCTACAATGACATTAGTATAAACAAACAAATTAAACATGGTGTTCAGGAAGCAAAGATCCCACTGCCAGCTGTTTCTAGAGATTTTCAATGCCCCAATACTTTTAATCATACTGATTTTAATCAGTAACAAACCATAGTAATTGCTACCTTCTTGTCTTCGGTTTCTAGTTCCAGACCTTTCTTTACTAGATTGTTCTCAAACATTCGCCTTCGATCCTGAAAAAAAGAAAAGCAGACAGATGTTTACGTTTTATTCAACCAACACAAGTTTTTAATATACAACAACTGATAAACATAGTTATTTTGCATCATCTTTGTGAATTATGAATATAAAAACAAGTAAAATATTAAACACATTGCTGACATTTAATTTTGCTAACAATAAATTATTGCAACAGGAATGAAGAAATGGGAATTCTTATGAATGGATTTGTGTCAGAACAATATTTTTCTTTCTTCTTTGTTCCCTTAATGAGTGTCTAGGTGTGGCTGACCTTGGAGCCAGTACATTGGTGTGGGTGCTATTGGACTATAGATATTTCTTACAATGGTATATTTTGTTTTCCAACTCAAGGCTGCTGGGTCTGCATTGTTTACATTGTTTGTGTGCACGCATACATGACTGTAGATCAGTTTGGACAATGTCCTGGACATGCACGCAGGATTTTTTTGGCAAGAGTTTTGGAAGTGGCTTCCTAGGGGTGAGCCAGCTGGCTTTGTGCTGAAGGTCACAGTCTCCTGGTTTTTCAATTTGCTTTGACCTTATGCCTTTTAGTGCTGTTCATTGGACCTTGCCTTGTGTAGATCGCTTTCTCCATAATAATTTGTAAGAAAAGTGATATTCTGACATTCTGTATACATTTTCAAATCAAAGCAAACAGTTCTAAATATATTGTAATTGTCTTCATTCTCCCAAGGAAGTTTCCGCAGGCATGCTAAGTTATAACTCTTCATCCCTACCCATCCAACATAGCCAAGAAAATTGATAATGATGGAGAATTTTATTCCAGCAACTATGATGGATACCAGTTTGAGGACGGTTTCTCTAGAACAGCGGTTCTAGAACAGTGTGTCGGGACCCCATTTGGGGTCGAACAACCATTTCACGGGGGTCGCCAAACAATGCAGTCCGCCACTTTTTCCCCCTTTTCCTTAGCTGTGCTACTCCCTTTTATTCTATTGGCTTTTGAAAGCCAATAGAATAGACTCTCTTGAATAGTCTAATTCTATTGGCTTTCAAAAGGAATTGTCCAGGCTGTCTCTGCCCTGCTGAGCCCGCCAAAAGCCCCAGTCTGCAAACAGTGCTGTAAGTTGTCTGCAGTGAAGGCGAGCTGTCTGGAAGTTTCCACCCCTCCCTGATGAGCAATTACTAAAAATGTAAGTAAAAGAGGGGCAGGGGTGGGAGGCCGGCGGGCGCAGGGAGGGTTGCTGGCGTGCATGGGGCCCGGCGGGTGCTTACCTCCCTTGGGCTGGGCCAGCTGGTGGCCCAGCCGGTGGTTGGCCTGTGCCGTCTCTGCCGCTTGCCAACTACGCCTCAGCCGGGGCAGGGAAAGTCCTCGACTTATGACTGGTTGGGTAGCCCTCGACTTACGACCGGTTGGGAGTCGCAGCATTAAAAAGGTTGAGAACCACTGCTCTAGAATGTCTCTGCTTTATTTGTCTCTGTCTGTCGGCACCTTGACATTAAACCAAGTCTGAAGAGATTCATAACATTTCCCCAATTCTAAATGTACCATTTCTCTACAAATCTGTTTGGGAAGCTATTTTGTATATATCACAATGAATTTCTGGTTTAAAAGTCTGTAAGTCTACATGTTATACTCCCCCCTTTTTTTCTTTCCATATATGCTTAAACCTTTGTAAAAGAAATCTGGGGAATTAGATGCAAACATTATGCCTCCATAATATATGTTTTAGATACAATCAACCATTCACTAGCAACATAAAGCTTATTTGTGTCCAGTCTTTTTTGATTATCACCAAGTTCACTCATTTCTCTTTTTTATTTATTTATTAAATTTGTTTGCCACCCATATCACCAAAAGGCAAGAGACTTACAACATTAAAATGAAACCATAAATATATGAATAAATATATAAAGTCACATTAAAAGTACAACAAATTACAAGTTATAACTAAAGATGGGGAGGAAGGAAGGAGAATATATGGGGGGGGGGAAAGAGGTGAAACCATAGATCAGGCATGCTGGCTTAGGAATTCTGAAAGTTGGCCCACAAGTCATAAAAGGGCCAAGTTTGAAGACCCCTGCCATAGACCATCTCCAGTATGAAATTCTCCCACTAGGGCTCCAAGTCAACTGGCTAAAGCCAGGTGTTCAGGCTCTTGTGGAAGGTCAGGAGAACAGGAACCAATCTCATCTCAGGGCAAAATGTTCCAAAGGGCCGGAGCCATGGCAGAAAAGTCTCTTCTCCTAGACTTCCTCAGCTGGCATTCCTTGACTGATAGGATCTGCAGCTTGCCTCCTCTGCTGGAACGGGTGTGAGATAGCTCTTCAAATAACCTGGACCCATATGCCATACAGGGCTTTATTGATAATAACCAATACCTTGAATTGCACCCAGAAGCAAACCAGTAATCAGTGCAGGTCTGGGACAGTGGTGTAACATGGGCCCACACTGAAAGACTGCCCTTGCTGCTACACTCTGCAGCAGTTGGAAGCTTCCGAATGCTCTTCCAGGGTAGCCCCATGTAGAGTGCATTTCAGTAATCCAAGCATGAGATGACCAGAGATGACTGAGTGCAGGGACTCCTGATCCAGGAGAAGCCGCAAATGATACACAACCTGAAGTTGTGTAAAGGCTCTCCTAGCCATGAGTGCCCCTGCTCTTCAAGCAGGTGTGAGTTCACCCCTATGTTATGGACCGGTCTGTCTGGGGTAGTGCCACCCCATCTGTGAGTTATTATCATCCCCAACCATTCCCAAATGTCCAATCATTCTGGATAGATGACTACAAAGATGTACTTGATATCACAGTCTCATGAGTATTCTGTTTGTTACCCCTTGGACTGGGATTGAGGGAAGGCGACCTTCACTTGTTCTGCACTCGAGAGAACACAACACAATCCTGTTTTGCTCCTTTTGACATAGTCCTTCTTTACATTTTTTTATGTGTTTATTGCTTTGAGACAGAAATAGTGCATGTGTGGAGCAAATATACAGGCACCCGTATACTGTACCTGCAAATGGATAAAAGCAACAGAAACCAGTGAATCCAAATCTATAAGGAAGAAGTCAGTGCAACCATCTATGAATTAGATCCACATCCCTCCTGGTTGGTAAAAGCCTCCAGGATGGTGTCTAACAGGTGGGCTCAGGCAGCGATAAACTTTTCAATGTAGGAGAGGACGTTCCTGGGATCTTTTAAGGAGCTTACAGCTACTGCCCAATAAGCAGAGACAGTTCTAAAGGAAGTAGTTAAGACTTGTTTAAATAGATGTAATCACACATTGCTTACAAACCAACAGTGACAGGTGGAATATTTAGTTCTTTCTACCTCCTATGGTGCTAAGAACAAAGCAAACTTCAGTTGCACTGATATTCCATGGAGAAAGAACAAAGTACCTGCTCATGCCTAGTCCAAAGACAAGGTGTGCCAAAGTAGGCGTAGTAGTGTGATTATGGAATAACTATTTATTGGTGCTTATCTGCAAATTAAAGATATCATCTTTTATAGGTATGCCCATCCTCAAGATAATATTTAATTGTGATTTTTAAACACCATTAAAGTAAACAGGTTTTCAAGTGCAGTGGTTAAAGTTCTAGTGAAAATTTAATCAACTGCTTTATTATCAAAGAGGTCTATTTGTTGCTTACATCACAAAAAGAAATATAAAGATAACATCATTTTAATTTCAAGGTTTCTTATACACTGATATTCTTTGGTTAACCCTCAAAAATTTTCCACTCCTTATTTGAGCATCCATTAAATAAAAATAAATACTTTCCATTGACAAATTAAAATTATTCTATTTCCCTAGACAATGGGATTGTCTAGATTGCAGATACCATAGCTATTACTTCATTTAGTAGAGTAGAATTATAACTTTGTTGTCACTTTAAATATACATTAATATATTAAAATAAGATTCTATTGCATACAACTCTCAAAGGGTAATCAGCTCCAATATACACTGCATAAACATGACAATGACAATAATGATGATGATGATGATAATAATAATAATAATAATAATAATAATAATAATAATAATACACATATATGACCCAGAGAAACAACACAGTCTAGTTTGGATGTATACATAACAATCTAAAATAGTCCTGGAAATGTGAGTCTCGGATACTCTTATTTAAAACTAGAAACACGGATCACCAAGACTAAAAATGTTTTAGTCTTGGTGATCCGTGTTTTTAGTTTTAAATATACATAACAATAGATGATTTGTGAGTGAGAATTTTTTTGTTTATTAGCTTCTATTTGGGAGGGAATAAACCAGGGCTGTCAATAATGGCTTTTTTGAATTCTTGTAAACTCCTGCCTGTGAAATCAGTGATACTATCTAACCATCTTAGGGGTTTTTTTGCAAGTCCTTTTTTCAACTGATTTTGATTTTTCCAACCATTCCAAGCATCTTCTCCAAAAAGTCTTGCTTCCACATTATGCGTCCAAAATATTTTATTTACTCATCCTTCATATAAGCTGTTTTTATTTCAGTGTTGAATTATTTGCACTTGTTATCCAAAATACTATTTAGCACCAGAATCCAGTCATTTTCCTTCTTTAGCCTTTCTGTGGTCAGCTTTCACAGCCATATGTTATAGCTGAAAAGAGGATGGCATTGACAATATTTGCCTTCAATGGCAATTGAAAGTCTCTTTACTTTAATAGCTTATACAAATTTGTCAGTCTTTCTCTCAAGAAGCATATTATTTAATGGTTACTATTCCTGTGGGGTTTGGAGCCCAGAAAATACTTCTTCACCTATTTTTACCAGATTGGTATTTCCACTTGTCAGATAAGAGTTCTTTTTTAAAAATAATGATTGGCTTTGGCACTCTCAATATTCAACATTTAACAACCGTGTTACTAAATTATCAAATGCAGTGATTCACTCAACGACCGTGTCAAGAAAAGTGGTAAAATGGGGCTAAACTCTCTTAACAAACGTCTCGCTTAGCAACATAAATTTTGAGCTTAATTGTGGTCGTAAGTCGAGGATAACCTGTATAAGGAAGA